GACAATAAATTTTATTGTCGCACATGACAATGGAACTAGATTGATAGACAGATAAAGAGAGAGAGAGAGATGGGGGGGGCATAATAGAGAGACAGACAGAAAGAGAAAGAAGGGCGAAAAGTAGGATGAGTCATCAAATCATAACAACGGCATTTACATCGGTATTACCATTGTCTGGTGTTTTTCGAGGGACTTCCATTATGATAGTTCAATAATATAATCTTAATCTGAAATTCAGGGATTTCAGGGGCATTATCGTAATTCATCACGCCAAATGTATTATTAATTATTAGAAGTAACTTAAGTATATAGTAGTATTGTTGTTGTTATAATTTTATTATTAGTTGTATTAGACTGTATTATTAATCCGAGTATATATATGTTCATACATTGTACGTCTCATATCAAGCTGTCAGCCTTGCCGAAGTACACTGCTGGGCGATAAAATAATATGCAATAACTGACAAATCAAAATATCCAATAAGGCACCGCAAATCAAAAGGATTAAACGTTCGCCCATTTACAATATAATTGGTCTTTTGTGACACCAGTAAACACCCTTCCCGCCCAGTTACCATACTCTTGTGCATAGAAAATACATCAACATAATAGACCTTTGTACATTGTCCCATTACACCAATTTTCTGCCTAGTGCAATTTGTTTCAATGAAAAGGTCATCCCATTTTATTTTTGAGGAGGCATTTTGTATCATAAATGCATTTTTGCCCCGTAAGTATGGAGAGGCAAAAATCGGGCGGAATCCTAAAGCGTGAGGTTGGGAGGGCTCTGGGGTGATTCATTCGGGAGAGCACGTACATGTATCTAGATAAAAGGGCTTTTTGCGTTTTGTGGTTATGATAATGAAATGATACGGCCTTGTAAACCTAAATTGCATTTGAAATAATAGAGGTTGACTGGTATAGAAAACGCTTGTTCCGTATTTGAAAATGCTGTTAATTGGCCCCAAACTCTACGATAAATGCTGCACAAATATCGTGATAATTATTCTTTGTACAAACCTTTTGTTGTTGAAATATGTCTAAGTTTATTTTGTCTGACTAAAGATTTGAGTGGATAATTATTTGAGAGATGTTTTTTTAATTCCTATTAGTTTATGATATCCCGATATAATTAGAAAAAAATAATTCCAATTAGAATCAAATAATTATTTATGCAGGTGTATGTTTACTGTATTGAATTTTAATGGTTAAATACATGTAGATGGAGAAAGATCCGTGTTTGTGTGTCTGTTTGTTTCGTGTATTATCACGTTCTTCAAACAGGGCGGGGACTAAGAGGATCCACCTCACACACACGAACACAGTCCTACAGTAAGGGTTAGCCCAGGTACGCCACAACGCCCCCCCCCCCCCCCCCCCCCCCACCCCTCCTCGCCCCTTGTTCATAATTGTTCGTGTTTCGCAATATGAATTTATCTATCCCTCAAATTGTATCATATTATTTTATTAAAATTGTCAATTACTGTCAAATATGTCACGATACATTTACCCATTTTTTTCGAAGACAGTGTATTCTAATTCCATTGCACTTGAAAAATGTTAAATACAATACCTTTAATCCTGACTCCGCCATGCAGGGACGGCATAATACACCCAAACCGCTGCAACTAATTTCTCTATCCGTATCGCTGTGATTGGATTGGCAGGGCGAGGCGCGCATTGCAAGGAAATCTCATTACGACGCTCTAAGAGGGTTTAGAGATTCGATATAATTGTTAGTTATGCATCAACTGTCAGGATACCTGCTCCATAATATAATAAGATATGATGTGGGGAGGATAGATTAAATTAATGTATGATGGAACTTCAGTGAGCGTGCAGTCATTTTAAGTTCATGAAGAAAAGAAAGGAATCTTACCGGCTACAGCGTTGTGGAAGCGTGAAACCTATACTTGAAATAAAAGTTATATATTTACAAAAGGCCGATCAATAATTGTGTTAGGAATTTTGGGCATTTTGCGCGCATTCGAAGGATATTTCATTGAGCAAAATTTGTCTCACTGTACACTCAAATGACCAGATATTAATAAATATTTAAGCATCTGTTTATTTTCTTTTAGTTTATTTATTGCATTCATTCATTCCTTCATTCATTTACTTATGTTATTCACTCATTCATGTATATATTCATTGAATTGTCAATTAATTAATTAATTAATGACTGTTTTAATTATATGTTATGGGGTGAGGCTTGAGGGATCATCCGTAGTTTCGCCGCTATAAATGACTAGAGAGAGAGAGAGAGAGAGAGAGAGAGAGAGAGGGGAGGGGAGATTTCATTAATTTTTGAAAAAAATTGGTAGGCACTTTTGGGCATTGTGAAGAGCGCGTTGAAAGGAAATCCCATTAGGATGTTCCAAGGAGATCAATTGATTCGATATAATTGTTAGTTATGCATCAACTGTCGGGATATACCTGCTCTCGGGATAACGAGATGATGTGGCGGGGGGGGGGGGATATATTAAAATGTATGATGGCATTCCAGTGAGTGTGCATGTAAGTTCAAGATCAACATGAACTAGAGAGGTGTACTGCAGCATTGTGGTATATAGCGCGAAAGGTGATTATGGTCCTTTAATATTATGAATGAAGAATCGTCGTGAAAAATGACAAAAGTCTAATGAAAAACAGTCATTACTTATTCAACGATTAAGTGAATATATAAATGAATGCATGAATGAATAAGTAAATAAATGAATAAATCAACGAGCAAATGATGAATGAATAAATAAATGAATACAAAAGTAAACTCCTGTTCAAATAGTTTCTGATATCTGGCCATTTGAATGTGCAGTGGGGCAACTTTGGTTCGGCCATTGATGGGGGCACTGTTATGAAGGTGGGTTGCCGATTTTACTCGGTGACTGTAAATGTAAAATAGAGAAGTCTTCAGTTGGGGGTGGTACGGGAGGGGTCCTGTCATCACCTAGTTATCTTGACCTTTCTAAAATAAAAAAAAATCATTTTAACTTTTACTGTCTGCTTTGCTTTTTCTTATTCTTATTGTTTTATTTTATTTTATTTTTTTAAAGGGAGGGGCACTAGCCTCCTTTGCTACGGCACTATGAATGTGTGAGAGATTGCAATGAATGCATCGTTGTAACTCATAGTGACATCGTTGTTAATTTACTTTAAATCAACTGAGTCTGTGACCTAAATATCGTAAACGAAAGTGAAGAGAGAAAAATGAGAAGGAGATGTGCGTTTCATTCTATACGCACCACCAACTTGAACTTGATCTAGCCTCTGCGTCAAGGGGGGAAAACGCAGAAATGTAGAGCGGGGCAAATAGGGAAGGAAAAAGGATAAGGATGAAGGTAGAGAGAGAGAGAGAGAGAGAGAAAGAGAGAGAGAGAGAGAGAGAGAGAGGGTGGAGAGAGAGGTAGAGAGAGGGAGGAGGTGAGGGACAGGAGATTGACCGAGGGGGGGGGGGGGGGGGTAAGAGGGATGGGACGACGGGGTTGAGTATAAAGGAAGAAAGAGAGAGCGAAGGGGAGGGAGTAGGGAGAGGGCGAGAAGTTGTATAGATGGGACAGATATAGAGAGGGAAGGATCGGGGGTATTTGAATGTATTGATTTAATTCTAATTTTATTTAAGCAGGGTTGCCTCTTCAGTTAAAACACTGCTATCCCGGAGGGCCCTGAAAAAATAAAAAAAACAATGTAGACCTATCTGAAATATTTACAGACTTGGGTACAAATTGAACTCATAAATAATTTGTTTAAAGGTTATGAATTCAGAGATGAAATAATAACATAAGAAGAAATATTATGAATAACATGTTCCAAAGTGCAGCTAATAATTATAAACAATGGTATGATCAAAACATCCAATTGATAGAGAGGGGGAAGAGGAGAGAGAGAGAGAGGTGGACAGAGAGAGGGGAGGAGAGGGAGAGAGAATTATCTGGGATTGATGATTGGTGCATGGAGAGGGACGCTGAGAGGCAGGTAAAAAGATAGATGGGGAGGGAAGGAGGAAAGAAGAGTGAGAGATAGAGATAGAGAGAGAGAGAGAGAGAGAGGGAGGGGGGGGGGGGGGAGAACACAGTACCATTATCAGATTATGCTTGCAAAAGAGCCGGCCCATTTGTGGTACATCCAGGGCTTTGTCCATTCCAAACGTTAGAGCTTTCGTGACATTTTGTTTGACATTTAAATGCCGGAATCAAATGCGACATTTATGCCAGCATTAATACTGCCCCGAGGTCTTTCCCGTGCAAGAAGGGTAACTAATCTGCACTTTATGCGACCTCTCGCACGAGTGTATATACGCATTGGACCTAAATATGGTCACCATTCATGTATAAGTGTTGAAACGTCCGTATGTTCAAACGTGCATAAAAAATCTTTTCCAAAAGCGAATCTGTAATTTGGCCGACAAAATCCTTTATTCATTCGGAAAATGTTGATTTTTATTCTTCTGCTCACATCAGAGATCGTTATGCCAATAATAATAATAATAATAATAATAATAATAATATTGGATTCTTACATGTAAATAGCGCACGTATCGACCTTGCAAGGTCCTCAAGGCGCTCCAACATTACCCGGCCTCTCGGTTTTTTAATAAGTGAAATAGCCTATAGCCTATATGTGGCAAATTAATATAGACTTTAATTGTTACTACTAATAGGTACCGTTTACTCATCGTTTATTTACCCTTATTTCACGGTAATGGAGAGAGAAAGAGAGAGAGAGAGGGAGAGACAGAGAGAGAGATAGAGAGAGATGGAAAGACGGTGCCTAAAAAACAATACTGTGACCCCCCCCCCCCCCCTATATAATAATAATAAAAATACCTAGTTCTTATATAGCGCTTTTCAGGGCCGAAGGCCCTCTCAAAGCGCTTTACACATATATATATTATTACCTCGGTCATCGGGTATTTTATTAAAGAAAAGGGGATTTTAAATAAAGTTAATTCAATTGATTAAACGTCTACAATTTGCCTTCTTTCTTCACTTCATTTTCAACAGGTCTGTGTTTGAGCGATGTCGCCGCCGTCTCACGGACCGTCGTGTTCCAAGGGGACTCGGCAGAGCTCGAATGCCAAGTCGACGACGCCGTCATCACCATCGTTTGGAGGAAGGGTGACGACATCGATAGAGCGACCACGGTGGCGTCTTTCGTGGACGGTGTCCGACAGGGAAGCGACGGTGGTCGTATTTCGATGTCTTCGTCCAGATCATTGGTGATCAACGATGTCGATATAGCGGATGAAAGCATGTATTATTGTATTGTCACGTTGACGTCATCGAGCAATGATATAGTGATTGAAGCCCAGTTAGAAGTTGCAGGTAAATATATTCACAATCGATTTATGATGTCACGATGATGATGGCTATGCCGCCTTGGGTAATATAGCACGGCAGGATTATTATCTCTTTTTCGTTCTTTTGCGTTTCCATGTTAATCTCACTGTTAAAAGAAATTATTTAAAAAAGTGATCAGACATTAATTTTAATAATTATTAGATTTCCAACCACATTATTTGAATCAGAATTGTTGTTATGCTGTTTGTTTTTGGCCTGAAAAATAAATATTGGAAGAAAAGCCTTATCCGACCACATAATTACGAAACGGAGACTCGTGAGACTGGTCACTGGAGAGACATTTTTGGAACTTACCTAGCGATATAAATTATATGGTTCACATTTAATGTCTGGCATTAATCATAATAAATCCTTAAATGGAGTATAATGACAATTAATTTTGAAGCGCATAGCAATGTAATCGTCCGGAATATTGTTTAGCTTATTTTGTTATAATGAGTTTTTCGAATCTCTTTATTCTGTTTTAGTACCTCCAGCGGAGCCGTACCCTACCATAGTTTTACTCCAACCCACTTCATCGCCATCCGCAAACGCATCTTGCCAATACACCATACCACAAGGCACCCAATACCGATTATCGTGCGAGGTAGATAGCTTCAGGCCGTCTGTCGAGCTTGTCTGGTTCGTTAACGACGTATCTGAGGGCGGAGCACCGCTGAAGTTTGCGGACAATCCGGACGGGACGAGGGATGTGTATGGTAGCCTCGACGTGACAATGGGTGTTTCGAACATGGATGTCAGATGTGAAGTGAGCGGTGAGGCGGTGCCGGACCCACCCCGGATAATTACAGCGTTGGTCTGTTGGGCCCCTAGCACCAGCGGTAAAAACATTTTAGAATTGTTTTCAGCTCAGTTCAAAATCTTATATCAGTATATGAAGTGTCGTAGTCGAGTGGTTTAAGCACTTGACTTTGGCAAGGCATTAATCTACATTTGCCACTTAATACCCAAGAGAGAAATGGGGACCCTGTAGGATCACAAAAACATTTTGTGTTAGTAATTGCCTATGCCCTCATGGGGGATCATATGGTAAGAATACTTCCCAGGGAGTGGAGATGGCGCATATTGTGCGTGAATGAATCTGATGACCGGGGTAATAATATTTGTAAAGCGCTTAGAGACGATATACCGTATTAAGCGCTATATAAATCAAAATTACTATTATTATTATATGAGTAAATAGCATCAAACAAAGTTTGTCTATTCTATTTCTATTGTTAATAGACTCTAATATTTTTGAAAGTTAAGCCTGCATCTCAATACAAACTTATTTTACCTCCAAAATGTTCAGCTGTTCAGATACAGCTTTCGTCAGCGTTGTGTCCCGACTTAATCTTCGACCATTGTGACGTAATTGACAAAAACCGAGTCGTAGACAATTACGTCAGATATAACAAGTCGGGTCACATCTTTGATGAAGGTTGAAGCTGAACAGCTGAACCTTTCGGAGGTCAAATTTTGTATTTCCATCAGAATTTAAAATTGCAAACATTCATATTACCAATACCGATGAACTTTCATGATTGTAACACGATAATATATACCAGGTAATATAGAGGTAAACTTTGATCTTAATTTTATATTTCTGTTGTCCCAACTATTATGTTGCAGGTGGAAGCAATACCACAACCATTATCGTCGTAGTAGTTATCGTCATTGTATTAATAGCAGTCGTCGTAGGGATTGCATTATGGATGAAAATATGTGAGTATATGGTTGGAGTACAAATATAACTATTGAATTATTAAAGTTCATATGAATTTAAAGGCAGGGTATTCGACAAAATATACCTCAGATTTACTTATACTGTCATCTACTACTCACAATGTCCCAACGTGTCGACAATAATTTCCCACAATGCATCCAAAACTGATAACGCACGCTTGATGATGTTTGGGTACACGATCCGGAAATCGCTCTATGTACGCCTTGAGCGAAAAATGGTGCAATTGAAAATACAGTAGGCCTACATCGGTGATGTAGATCGGTGATCGGTGACAGTGATGCCGGTAAAACGCCTTGCCTTTAATTGCTGAAAGTGCATTTTCCATAAAAAATGAAAAGGGCATCGGATGTTCATACTACTTCAAGTTAGAATAACATAGAATGAGTTTTCAAATGTGGCTGGCAATCATTTTATATTTCACCCTTTACTGCTTTAGGTATTATGTTTGTACAATCAATAAACTTTTAGTAATGTTTGATGGTCGCATCAACAACAAGCTCCGTATAATGAAAGAAGAATTCGCCAAGCTTCCGGGACATTTTGCGCCGAATAATTCACATTAATACCGATCCTAATGAAGTGCCTTTAATCGTGTTTCTAAGAACGGGACATTGTTGGTGTTATGTTTGTGTAATTCTGTCGAGAAAATGCGGTTTCGATTGATTATCGCCTGGATATATACCTTTCTAACTGTTTTTTTTCCTTATTTCATTTCTTCTATAGTGATAAGAGACACAATGGTACGATCAAATTACAGTAAAACAGCGAGTGCTGACGGTGAGTGTACATTTTTGTTTGTTTTACTTCCAGGAAGTATATTTAAACACCTAATCCCTGTTAAAGGTACTATGTCCCTTTTGCAGCCAACCTCAAATTCTGTAGAACTTTGCAGGAATTATGAATACGTCATGTATGTCCTATCTGTGAAATTTAAACGTTAGCAGTGTCCTCATATTCAAATTATGCAAGGAAACCCGTTTACTTGCTAGACTTCACTGTCAGACACTATTGAGTGACTGACTGGCTTTTTTCTTCTTTAGTAATAACATACATGAAAAGAGTTGTAAAGGGAACATGAGCATTTGTCTACATCAATAACCCACTTCTTGTGATGGCCAAGATTAAACTGATTGAATCTTTGCGCAGCATAAAACGTATGACCATTCGGTACAATTGTCTGAAAATCAAGACTATTACTTTTGGGCTCTATAGCCCTAAAGTCGATTTGACAACTAATAGTCGTTTTTTTCCCACTTGAAGACATTTTCAAGCCCAACCTTTTTTAGGGAAGTTCTTAATTAGTATTATCTTTCAAATGCAGTTGGAATTTAACTTTTTCATTTTTTGGCCTGCAAATGGGACATAGTACCTTTAATAACGACTTAAATTGAAAGTCACGAATGATGTTGACGAATTTGTGTCAATATAATCAATTTTTTATGGAACAGAATTTTCAGAAAACATCACCTCGAAACTGTCGTTCTTTACCCATCTCCGAGTTTTTCGTGACGTAGCAGCCTATTTAGCGGATGAATAGTTAGTTGTTATGTCCAAATAAAATTTGTGTTCAATCATTCTTGAGCAAGAACAAAACAATAGATTTGAACAAAGTACATTTTGTGACATAGATGAAGAGTTACGAGGTAGTAAGGATTGAAAGATGGAAGATTACTACGAAGTATGCTTATATTTTATCTGATTAAAGGTAATATTGAATTATCATTTTTGAAGAACAAACATTTATTTTATTTAACTTTGATCAGACGATACACCATCTCGAAGCCGCATGTCGAATTTCTGCCACATCTGCTGTGCGACCTGCTGCCCGTGTACGGTGCGGGAAGATGAAATCGATGCCGAGACGCAGAGGAGAAAAGGGGCATCGTCATCGCACTCGAAGGAGGAGAGAGCGAAGAAAGCGCCCTCAGCAGGTGAGACCGATTTACGTTGGATTGTACTTTGCATGGCTTTATCATTGCCATAATGGGGCGATTTTGAGTCGGTCTTACGCCTGTGGTACGGTCAGCTCCCTGCTTTTGCATACATACCGACTCTGACGGACCGTTAAGTTCCCGAGACACCTGCGTCTTATGGATGGCTGTGTAAAAGGGCGGTCCCCAGACGTAAATGTATTTTGATTGATAAAAGTTTGTAAAAACTATCAGATCGCACACACTCTGTCATAGATAACTGAACGTTGGCGGGATAAAGCTTGGTTTAGTTAGTAGGCTCTATGGTTGCTGTTAAAATGAGAAGACGCAATTATTCATCTTATCCATATGACACCCTTTTTCTAATATTATATCAACGAATTCTGTTATCGGATGCGAAATAATTATGTCCTCAATTGATAATGTTAGCTTTAAAATGACCCCAACTAATATTTAGGTACTATCCTTCCAGTAGCAACAAGTTCAAATCTCCCCCCCCCCCTCTCTCTCTCTCTCTCTCTCTCTCTCTTTCTGTCTCTCTTTCTATCTTGTTATCTCTTTCTACCTTTTTCTATCTTTCTCTCTCTCTCTCTCTCTCTCTCACTCTCTGACTCTCTGTTGTCGCCAGTTGAAAGAAGAAAAAAGAGATTGTGAACTTATCGGCAAATTTTTAGAATTTCCCGCATTCGCTATTCAAAATAAACAACGCCCCATATTAGTGTAGATTTTCTCTTGCCATATTGCAATACTAGTAATTCATATTCGCAAAAAGCATAATTCTGAAACCACAACTGTACAATTTCCTACTTTAATGAATATCAAGGTAAAGTATTTATTTATTTAATATCCTGATAATGATCTTCCCTTTTTTCTGATTTTAGCGCTAAAAGCAAGAATCCAACAAAATCGTAAGAAACAAGAAGGAAGGTCTGGAGCGGCAGCAGAGAGTAACCATGTGCCTTCCGATAAGCCGACTGAACATTCCCCTATGCTTGGTAAGATCATAGGCATCATTGTCATCATCATCATCATCATTATTACTATTTTATCATTGTCTATTTACTATCCAATTTTTACTGAAGTCACATCAAAAGCATGCTCAGACACAAACAAGGGATGGCGTTCTGAAGAAAGATATTAAACAGTACGCATTAATTTCCTGCTGTACAGCAATGCAATAGTTGTTTTGCCTAATTTTATAATTATGTGTGACTTAAAATTCCATTTGCGGACATTATGTTTGTTTTTCTATTCTTTTGTTTATTATTTTAAAAGTTATGCTACACTTTTACAAGTTTTTCTTTCCGTTCTGTGATCAATTATAAAAAGTCTACCTAAACAAAATGTTGATATTATTTTGTTCGATGTGATGTTATTTGTACCGTTTGGAAATGATAAAAAAAATTGGAATTTAACCTTTACAGAAAACCCAGATGAGACGTCAACTCCGATGAATCCTAAGCCTCCTGGTGCGAGGCCTAAAACAAGACCAATTGATGATGCTTCAGTTGTTATTAGGTGAGTTACTTTAAAGCCCCACTAGCTACTTCCATATAGCAAACAATGCCTAAGCGGTGACCGTTGGTCCCCTATGATCCTCTTTTTCCTATGTTAATTGAGAGCTAATTTGATGAGATAACCACCTGTCAGTGACCACGCTGGGAGGTCTAATCCCTCCTGGCCAAACTAGTACAGACTGGCTTTAATAGAGATCATGTTGACATGTAGATTCTTTTTCCTTAATTACTGTCGATGACATTGGCCCCGACCCAGACACTATAAAAACGGGCGTCGCTTTGGGCGTCGCAGAGAGGGGAGAAAGGGGGGAAGGGGTCGTTGGGCCATTTTTCTGACAAATTAGATAAGTTCCTCCATTAACGTGAAGCTCCTATATCGGACTCGCCCAACAAAGTATGGGTACCTCTGTCTCTCAAAATCATGGCACATAAAACTAACTTCAATATATAATATGGCTCTCGTCATAATAAAGGCATGATGAGTTGTGAATGATCCGAATCTATTGTACTCACCATAGAGATACAGTTTGGTCGAAAAATGACAATCTGCTTTTTCTGATTATTTCTACCTCAGAGTTCCACATCAAGCACCGCAAAGTGTAGTAGAGACGAACGGGACAGCGGCGGGCGAGGCAGAGACGGGCTTCTGATAGAATCAAGCACCTCACCGATCAAGAGCATCCATTTTACCACTATTAAGATGAACAGTACTTTTCTCCAGGCTATTACATTCTATTATGGTCGGATGGAACAAGCCTTAGCTAAATGTTTTGCCACTAATTTGACGAGGCATAAAGCCGCTGGAAACTTTTTGCACACATATATATGGCGTGGTGTAAATGCCTCCGCCAAACCTGTTATTAAGTACACAGACGTATCGTGGCTAACCGCTTCAAAAATATTGCCTTGTCAAAATCGTAGAAAGCACGAAATAGAAATAAATGTCCACGGATCGACCGTCTTCATTTCTAGTTCGACAAAGGGTTCCATGATTCAAATTTAATATTGTGGATATCTGTCTTAGACAAGTAGTGAGCGAATTCGTAGCCAGGTAATATAAGCATGAGCCGATAAACATTGGGGACTCTAAATTTACCAAGTCCATTGGCTAAGAATGGTGTAAGGTCCTCTTTACAGTTGTGCCCCTTTCAGACTAGGCGTAATCTTGGTGGAAAGGACTGCGTCAGCCTGCGTCAGCCGCCGTCAGCCATCGACAAAAGCAGTCTTTGGCTCGCTGTGTGAGAGTGTCATCAAACAAAAGGTGAACGCAAATTGAACAGTGCAACCACTGCGCTAAATTTCTGGTGGATAAATTCACAGACAGGTACTGACGCAATCGAAATGCCGCATTGCCTGCAAGCGGCATTATGCAATTTTGTTATGATTGCGCCAATCGGGATGGTTTGGCTGGCATGATCAGCCTGACTTGCCTGCGTTTCGAAAACCTTGTGTTATCGAGGTCCCCGTCTTATAAAGAGTTGCCATTGATTCAAATAAATCGAAAATCCTCCACTCAATCGCAGTATGCAGTTCACTATATCGTTTGTGCATAGTTGTGAATGATATCAATCTCAAATCAGCTCTTTATAAGACGGCCCATACATGAGAAATCATTTTGACGGGAAAATGCTTCTAACTGCTCTACTGCATGAAAATAATTTCTTATCTCATTTAAGTAAAGCGTGATGATAAGTATGCCTATAAATATTTCTATATTGTGTTATGTGTATACTTTTTACTTGTTATACCCGATGTTCTGAAATGTATTGGTTAATATTTTGGCATAAATATTGAAATACAATTGATTTTTTGTGTGAGACACCTTGGGCTACGCATTTGCGTCATCCTCAACAGAATGTATCGATAATCTTGGGATAACATAATTATTTACTTGTTAAATGACAATGGTAACAAATTATTGTTGATTTAGTCTATTTTTCAATACACTTCCATTCATTTCATATTTCCAGCGTTTGATGTATTGATGCAATCCTTTTCAAAAAGAATGTTACGTACATTGTTGCCCATGAAGTTGGAATATTTTGTTTTTAATTTCCCCTTGAAGTGTTGTGAAAATATCTTTTATTCTTGATAGATAAAGGCTATATCTTTTCATAACTTTATTTATCAATCTCTACGACCAATGAAGTTCTGAGAAAATAATTACAAACTTCATCTATCAAGTATTGATCATAATTATTGTCACAATCATTACATGAATAGAGGTAAGTAAATTTATTCCAAAGTTATGGGCAAAAATGCATTTTTAACGATAATTATTAGATATTAAGTATTATACTCGCCACTTCATTTTAGGGAGGATTGTAGCAAATTATTTTGTATTCAGAAAAATACACTCGCAGCTGCATGCACTTTTATAGATATTCATTATACGCTTGAATTATGGAGAGAGAAAAAGGAAGAAAGAAAGTCTCTAACTTTACCTCTTTGCTGAAGTATCAACATTATAAGCCTTTTCCTTGATAATGATAATTTGTACATGCGCTTTGCTTGTATTCATTTTTCCGTTTGACTATTAGCTCTAAAATAGTACTCTACCGGTATTTTTGTTTTTCTCTCTATAGTCGACTAAAATTAAAATGCCTTTGTGTTTTCGTTCGCTTATGACTCGCATTGCCACTTGATCTTGACATGCGTAACTAATTTTCGTTGCCTATAATGCTTGCAGAGTCAATCATGACTTTGTGTCTTAAAATTTCTTATTTTTTGTGTAAATAGTAAAAAGGGGATCTACGCTTTCGTTTGCCACCTATTGTAGTGTATTGCAATATTTAATAGTTGAAGAAGAAAAAACTGAATTGTGTATTATATTTTGCACGTATTTGTATCAGTTCATGAGACAGGACCGTCTGTAACCATTTATGAAGGAGTGTGGGGGGGGGGGCGAAAGGCGCCCCAAATTTCCAACAAGGAAAAATAATGATTATAATAATAATCTAGAAACGTAGCATTCTATGGCATATATTGTTTTGGTATCTCTTGAACTGCTTCCATTGTAATTCCATACCGAAAACAAACCTCATACTCGGTTAATGTATCATTCATTTTAAGTACAAAGTCGCCGACTACCATTGACACTGTCTGTGTGTGTTCAGAATGAATATACATATGTCATTATTTCTGTAATATCTTTATTTGAATACATTTTCGTTGATTGATCAGTACTATGACTCGAATCAAAATAATGTGTGACAAAAAAAATGGGGGTCTTGGATGGGATTGAAACGTAACAAATCATGTCAGAAGAAATTATATTAACGTATTCAGAAAACTATATTGTTCTAAAGCATCTGAAAGGATACAACTGTATTCATTGAGAAGTTGTTCATCAGTACTAAAAATACTTTAGATCAACATGTTGTGATCAAATCTTTACGGATTTATCGCCTTGATAACTGCTGTTTAGCAAACATCCTTTCGATACTATGTATATTGTACGACTCAGATTCTATGACTCTGTTATTGGTTTAACGTGATTGTTCACAACTCGTAATTATGACCAAAATTGGTAGTTCAGCAACTTCAGCTATATATTGTAATACAATGCCTCTCATGCCTGTATTCAATAAATCAGTACTTGCGTACTCTTGAGCATTTTATACCGACATTTTTGTGTGCATAAATCTAGTTTTAAGTGAGAAAAGAAAAACGATTCCATGCCTATTTATTGAGTGTATGCAGCGAGCTGCTACATTAATTTTCTCATAACATAGGCCTATATTTTGTTGCCAAACGAAGAAAGAATGGTAAATGTTAATTGAAAATGGTTTCTGAGTTATTGGTGCCTAGTACATCACTTGATTAGACTCATTTTAATCACGTTGTATGTTATGACAGAAACTACATGTACACGAGGTTATTACAAAATGTGTGACTCTGCATTATTCCCTGAATATAATCTATGATTATGTATGGCATCATGCTGTGGCAATACTTTGTTTTTTATATTGATATAGTTCCGATTACCCCTTGAAATTACAGTCCACATCACTCTTTATATAGTTTGAGGAAATTTTGAACTAAATAGACATTCAGGTGCCACTAGCGCTTAGGGGGAGGGGGGCCACGATTTTTTAATTGGCGGATAAAGTGCGAATAGGCGGTATCACCGAAAGGGGATGGAAGAGGTCCTACATTGTTCTTCCCACCTTCTTTTCCCCTTCTCTCTTTCTTTCTGTCAGCATTTTCTTTTCTTTTTCTTTTTCTTTTTCTTTTTCTTTTTTGTCCTGCGATTGGGGGGGGGGGGGGGCACGTGCCCTCCTCTGCCTCCTATGACGCTACGCCACTTCCTATACAACCCAAAGGCACGGTACGTTTTGATCCATTTTGAAGAGCGGAGTGATAATAAACGTCACATTTCCTCTGTTTGATTGTGCTTGACACCATGTCATAGGAGCTGAAACGTGTGCCTCTATTACTACATGAATTTAAAAACAGCCTAGTCAGTTAGATAATTTTCTTTTCCTAAACAAGACAAGGAAAATGTATCGTCTCGATGTCGAATTCCGTTTACCCTCTTTGCTATCTTTTCCTTTCCATCTCTACACATGTATTTTAGTATTTTTTCACCGGGGCATGTTCATGATAAAGATCGATGATTGTGAAATAAAGGTAGTTGTTGCGCTCGAGTAAAGATTGAAATGCGGTGTACTGCGCATGAGTATGATTGTCCGAAAGAGAGAGAGAGGGGGGGGGGGGGGGGGGGGAGGGGGGGGGGAGAGAAAGCGCATGAGTTTGATTGTCCGAAAGAGAGAGAAGGGAGAGCCTACGCAAAAGAGAGAGAGAGAGAGAGAGAGAGAGAGAGGAGAGAGCGCAAGAGAGAGAGAGAGAGAGAGAGAGAAAGAGGGAGAGAGATGTATACTTTTGGGGGTCATGCAGTGTATGAATACAAACCGGAACAATAGAAGAACTCTCGTGCGAATAAAAACTTAATTCAAGCGAAGAATAAATCACAAAAGCTTATACGTACGTGACCTTCGTCAAAAGATAGACCATCTACAGTGTTCAGTGAATACATGTATATAAATTTATATGAGAAGCAGGGATTCCAATCAGTACACTGGTTATGCTATGCTGGTAGCATACGTGCAATATGCGACTCTCACGTTCCATAGTCCAATCGTTTTGATATCATATCGGGCAATAACCGAAGAATGCACGAAGTATTTCATTCCGTTCGATATGCGCTAAAATATGTGAATGGACGCTATTTATCCGTAAATCTATAGTCTCTCGCATTCGAATGCTAATCTTTTTTGTAGGGATATATTATTACTCGATCTCCGACATTGGTACATCATTCATATCTCGATCTGTTAACAACCCGAGTTCCTCGGGGAGCAGTTGAATGGCGAATACATCACTTCTGCCGCGGAGACAAAGTCTGGTCCCGTTCATATGTTTCTGTGTTATGATTTTTACCCTACCTTCAAGCCAGGGGGGCAACGTCCTCATCACCACAAGTCTGGGGGAAGGTTCACATTATTTTGTTGGGAAGACGATCGGAAAGTACCTGGTGAAACATGGTCATAATGTAACGATGCTAGTCAGCAAAGCTTATGCTCATCGGGCTGAAAATCCAGATGACGCGGAACTGAATTTCATCGTTTTTCATCAGTCAGCCGAGCAGATTGAGTCAGTGAAAGAAAGACATTTGTCCTACTCAAAGGTAGGCCCTATTTCATTGCAATTTATCATTTAATAGTTCAAGGACAGTAGTGTGATTGAAAGAGGACTCCCAGCTTAGGATTACATCAATATGAAAGTGATAATAAGGAAAAGACGCGCCGTCAACTAGACGCGATTGTATAATCAAAACAAAGGTATATAAAATTACAATATTATAAAGCACATCATACCAAAACAATTATTCAAATGAGGAAAATAGATATTTTGCGTTTTCCAATTAAGATTAATCTTGAAAAGTTAAGGCAGTTTCTTTCATATGTGTTTGTTATTTCAAAATAGTATTGCAAATTTTATAGAACTCACAGTTTTAAAATAACTATAAAGTACATGTATATACCTAGTAGTGGCGTAATGAAAAAAAAAAAAAATCCTTTTTTTTTGGGGGGGGGGGGTAGAAAAAAAATCCGCATCACCCCACTCTTACATGCAGGCTCCGCTGAACGTTTTTAAAAAGTGGAGTCTAGAGGCAAAACTTATCTCGAGTGTATAAGCTGTGTTGTTATCAGGGGCGTCGCTAGACCTGTTGCAGTGGGGGAGGGGTGTAGAGGCCACCGATTACTGACAAAACGAGCCACCAATTACCAACAAATATATTAATGCCAATGTCCCAAAGTCTACAAATTTAAACCTATCAACCCGGGGCCAGGAACTAAGTTATTTTCAGTCCCCCCCCCCCCCCCCCCCCCCCCGTGAAGCGCGGAAGCTTTGTCACTTCATTAAATTATTAGAGAAAGAAAACGATCTGTTGTACCGTTTTCGACTCTTAAATATTATTTCGCCCCTCCCACGCGAATCGCAGAAGCTATGACGATTCATTTACTTATTAGAGAAAGAAGACGATTCATTGTACCGTTCTTGACTCTTAATCCTTGTCTGAATTCAGTTTCACCCCCCCCCCCCCCCCCCCCCCCCCACCTCCCGCGCAAAGCGCGGAAACTTTGACGTTTCAATAAATTATTACTCTTAATCCTTGTTTGAATTCACTTTCGCCCATCCCAATGGAAGCGCGGAAACTTTCACGATTCATTACATTTTTTGAGAAAGAAGACGATTCGTTGTGTCGTTTCGTTGTCTGAATTCAGTTTCTCCCCTCCCGCGCGAAGCGCATAGGCTTTGACGTTTCATTTAAATATTACTCTTAATCCCTGTCTGAAATCATTTTCGCCCAATGGCTGCTCGTAGCGCGGAAGCTTTCACGTTTCATTAAATTATTAGATAAAGAAGACGATTCGTTGTTTACCGCTCCCGACTCTTAATCGTCTGCATTCAGTTGCCCCCCCCCCCCCCCCCTCCCGCGCAAGAAGCGGAAGCTTTGCCGTTTCATTATTATTATTAGAGAAAGAAGACGATTCGTTGTACCGTTGTCTTACCTGAATTCAGTTTCCCCACTGGGTCCCTTAACGGTACACGTGCAGTCAGGGGCGTACGCATGATTTTTTTTTCGAGGGGGGGGGGGGGGGGGGTTAAAATTTGAAAATCGCGTCGAAAATTTCGCAACGACTCAGCCACCCGCTGGGTAAGCGGGGGGGGGGGGGGGGGGGGTGAGAGCACATTTACACAAAACAAATTGGTCCAGAATTTAATGGGAAAAAATCCTCTGGACGGCCATGCATTAATATGGCTCAAGGCATGGGCACACACAGCATTTTGTTATGTTGGGGACCGGGGTAAAATGCAATAAATTATTGAGAATTTATTGCATTTTATTTATTTTTTTTTTAATTTATGGAACTGCCCCCTACCCTAGCCTCCGCTGGGTACATTCATGGTTCAGTGACAAAGCAATGGCCTCGTAACTGTGAGGCCCCAGGATCAAAACCGTGACGATGTGCTATATTAGTGCCCTTTTGTGGGGCATTAATCCTCATTACTGTCATTTATGACTGAAGGGCGTAGATCCCCTAGTTGATAAGCATAGTAGGATACACATGCTTTAGCAGTCACCCAAAACACAAATTGGCAAATTATTATTCAATAAAATCTGAGAATGTATACTATTATCTAGATCTATTAGGAATATTTTTTTTTTTTAATTCCATAATAATTATTGGGGTAAAACAAAAATATTCCAACTATATGAGCGACAGTGTAAGTTGACCCCTCCCCCTCTTATTTTTGTATTATTTATTCATTCACATATTTATTTATTCAATATTCATTTATGTAAACATTTGTTTATATATTCATTAATTCATTAAATTCTTCATTTTTGATAGAATGCACTAGAACCGAGTGGCGCGGCGTACTTGTATAAACTCATTCAAGCACATCGGAAGGGGGCCGCCGACGACTGCGATGAGCTCCTCGGACAGAACCCCGACGTCATGCGCCGACTCGAAGAGGGGAACTTCGACGTGGTCGTCTACGACATGATCTGGTTGTGCAGCTTGTTGTTGGCAATGAAACTGAACGTGCCCGCTGTGTTATCCTCCCCCATGGCTGCCCCGACGATGCTCTCCATGTACGCGGGAAACCCCGTGAATCTGGCATCCACTCCCGATGTAATGAATGGTTATAATAACAAAATGACATTCTTCCAGGTTAGTTTATTTGTTTTTATCTATCTAGTCGTTATTCGTTATTATTTCAATTATTCATTCATTCATTTCTTTATGTTTTATTTATTTATTTATTTATTTATTTATTCATTTGATTTTACTCATTTATATGTATATATTAAAATATATTAATTTATAAATATCTTTCTACAATCATTCATTTTTCCATTCATTTATTGATTAATTGAATTCAATAATTACTGTACATTTCTATACTACTATACTACTACTACTACTACTACTACTACTTCTACTATACTACTACTACTTCTACTATAGTACTACTACTACTACTACTACTACTACTACTACTACGACTACGACTACTACTACTGTGGTTTCTCTTCTTATTCTACTTCTACTTCTAGTCTTATTCTACTACTACTACTACTACTACTACTACTACTATTTCTACTACTTCTACTAATACTAATACTACTACTACTATAGAAGAAAATAAGTACCCACATGCCTTTTACTTTTCTTTATTTATTGTTTATTTTCTGTTTACAGCGTGTAAACAACGTGCTCGCCAACCGAGTTTTATATTCGGTATTGGAGTACCATCATGTACCGTACAATAGTATCAGAGAACGACACCAGATCAGACCGGATTTATCCGGTTCTATCTCGAATTTGGTCGGGACCTATACCGATCTGTTCCTGGTCAATCTGGATTTCGCCGTTGAGTTCCCGCTCCCGCTCAACCCGAACATCATCACCATGGGGGGTATCACGGCCAGGCCGGCATCACCTTTACCAAATGTAAGATATCTTCTTTTAACACGGTCTTTGAAAAATGTGTTTCGGTTTTTAAGGATGAAAATAGTAAGAAAGGACGAAAAACAGACAGATAAGCATACAAATATGAACGAAAACCAGAAGAAAAACATTTCCTGAATATTTACGGAGTTTAGAAGTATTTTTATGCGAGAAAAGGTGGATGTTTTATTACTTTAACTGAACTCGCTCAAGATCAGCTCTAACTATTCTGTTAATATATTCGAAAAAACGCAAGTTTTTAAATATAGGATTTCCCGGCCAAATTAAATTGATTTGTCTTGCGTTCAAATTCGACGGTTTTAGTGCAGTCACGTATATCTCGGGTTTATATTCCTTTTTCTAGTTTTCAAATCTATGGAATTTTCGTTAGAATCTACGTATGTTTCATTCAAATTAATGAACAATGTGCTTCTTTCGCTATTTGGTCATTTGATTTGGCGCAACACGATTTTCTGACAACGCGACGATGTACTTCTAGCATTCTAATTCATTTGTAGCATTCAAATTAGTGCTTTATGCACTTAAATTTATGGTCAATATACATTTCTCGTTTATTGCACACTTTTTATAGCTCATTCTTTTTCTTTCAAGATTGTTTTTTCATGTGTATTTCATCATATTTCATTTTCTTGCATTTATACACTTATACTTATTAGATTTATCTGATATTCATCAGCATTTAAGTTTGATTGTTAAGAAAAAAACGACTTGCATCTACGGACCTGATGGTCTCAATATATTTGTAAATGTTCATGTAAGGAAGTTGTTTGTCTTATGTTTCATCATAAAGTTATCATAATTTCATTATGGAAGAAGGGTACAATATTGTGACTAGGATAGGGACTAGAGTCAACAATTTGAACATGAGTCATTATTTAGCCAAGTCTTTAGCCATCGATCTGCTGGCGGGCAAGTAAACTATGAAACTCTTTAAGAAAAACAGAGGGGTGTGCTGGGTATAAGAGACGATGTGAATTACTTTTGTAAAATTCCGAGTCTGTAGTAAAAAGGGGCGATTGAGGGTACCCCCACCTTTCCCTGAAATATGAACATGTCCGTGCAGAAATGCCATATCCCTTGATTTCGCCCCTTATTTACTTTATGTCTGACTACACCAATCTGCATTGTCCTGAAAATGAATAAATGGAATAACAGCTTAGACCCCAATGGCAAATCATGCATTTTAACTGCATTATTTAAAAACTGTAAAAGTTTGTTGCAATTCTTCCACCTAACATTCCTAACTTAAATACAAATCTTACGAATACGAATGACAGGTGTTAATTTGAATGATAAAACTTACGCTTCGACAAGTGGATATTAATTTGAATGCTAGTTGAGCAGTTTCTAAATTGAATGACAGATCTATGATACCCTTCGACCAAATTCCTAAATGATGACAAACACTATGACTTTCAATTAGCAAAAACGCTCATCCTAACTTTCCGTTGTTGAAGGTTAAAACTTTTAAAAAATCACTCTATTTTCGGTAGTATAATTTGGTTTAAAGGGAAAACCCAAAATACTTGGATATGGTAAAGCGGAAAATCTGTGAGTACTGAATTCTTTTAGAACAAACCGATATGGGATAATAATAATAATAATCCGTTTTTAGCTCATCCGGCCTGAAGGGCCTGATGAGCTTATGCCATGCCGTGGCGTCCGTCGTCCGTCCGTCCGTCCACAGTTTTCAAAATGTTTCTTCTTCGTTATTTTTCAACCGATTTTGATTCTGATTGTTTCATATGATAGGGCTAGGAGGGGGATTTAAAACTTATACACAGAATCGTGAAATTCATTATCTATGCTAACTTATATCCTGTTCCCTATCTGTCAACCAACACGTTCGGCTAGGACTTGGAAGCATTCATGCAGTCCTCTGGCGATGGGGGCGTCATCTTGTTCACTCTGGGTAGCTACGTCACGCATATCAAGCCGGAATTCCTGGAGCCGTTCGCAGAGGTCTTCCAGCGATATCCGCAGCAGAAGATCCTGTGGCAGTTGGCAGGTGAACCCAAGTTCAAACTGCCACCGAACGTGAAGACGATGCCGTGGCTGCCACAGAATGATATCTTAGGTAAGGAACATATGCAGAGGTTTCCTCTGTACGGTCATACCTAAGAATTACCATATAAATAGAGGTGTCATGGTCCAGTGGAAGCATTTTCGGATTGTGAATATTCCTTGACTTCTGCATTGTGAGCACCGAAATCGGTAGCCTCGCAGAGCCGAGGTAATATCAGAGCACGTTTAACACCTTGCATGGTGGATAATTAAGTAGTATTGTAAATCAAAAAGCCACTTGTTATACAGCGGTCTCTATCTTTCCTTGGGTTTCTTACTAAGACAGAAATTGTTTACTGAACAGTCATGACTTGTCTTACTGGCCCTTCCTCTGTGGATATACGTCCTCTATAAATACACGTGCACGTATCCGATTTCCGTTTGATGGCCTCGACAGACAGGTTTGACGTATTCGAGATTGCAAACTATTTCACTCGTGATTGCTTTCAGGTCACCCAAAGACGCGTCTCTTCATTTTCCACGGTGGCAACAACGGGTTCTACGAGACCGTGTACCATGGTGTACCCGCCATCATAATACCCCTGACCGGGGACGCCATCGACCAAGGGGTTCGACTGAAACACCACGGTTTCGGTATCGTCCTTGACAAAACCAATGTGACTGTGGACATCCTGCGGGTCGCCATAGATACCATTCTCAACAATGATAGGTAGGCACGGTTGTGGTGCCGGGGGTTGGGGTGAGAATTGGAGTGGTAGTCTGAAGATCTGGGGTCCAGGAGATTTTCGGTCAAAATCCTGGGGGTATCACTTTGGCAGAGGTCTTCAGGGATGTTCGCAAACATTGATACGTTCTGGGATTTGAGAAGGGGGTACAGGGCGAAAAAATATAAGCTAGTGAAATCCTTGCTTCTAATTGGTTATCAGCAGATTTGTCACTGATTTTTGTCATTTGTCATTGAAAAAAGGCGTTGTGAAACGGGTCCCTGGTGTATGTTCTTTGGATTTGGAATTTTCAAAAAGGGGTACGTTTTATGAAAGAGTGAGAACTTTCACGAAACGATTAACGGATGTTCGCAAACATATGAATCCGTATTTATAATTTTGGCGAAAGTAAGGTACTTGTTTTGTTAATACATGAGTTCTCGAGGGTTCTCGACAAGCCGAAAATGTTATCAAAGAGTTCTATTCAAAGCCTGTTTTGTAACCTTGCCTATTTTTTATGCTAAAAGAGTAGTACTTTGTAGATAAAGCTTCTTGAAAAAAGGCAAAGTAGGAGGTCAATACTTTCAACTCCGTTAACGATCATCTGGTACACGAATGAAAATTGACATAAAGTTCCTGAGGTCCCTCCTCACAATAGCACCGTCAAAATCAAAACCCCTGCCAATCTTTGGATTAACGAGTTGAGGAGCAAGAAGGTAATGAAGGATACATGAGACTGACAAGTCGCCTACAAATTATCTGTTTTTTTTAAACATCATTCAACATGATTCAACATAGTAACAGCGTTTTTGCTTTTACATACAAATTTATGGATTGAAAATAAGTATGGCGGAGCGCTCTTTTTTGGTCTCGTTCTAATTATTAGTTTCACCTCCCTTTCCCTTTACAGTTATTCCGAGGCGGCAAAACTACTGTCCTCGCGTCTACGAAGCAGGTCGATGCATCCGGGTGATCGCGCTGCATTCTGGATCAACCACGTGATCAAACATGGCGGCAGCTACATGAGAAGTCCACTCATAGAACTCAACTTCATACAGCGAAATCTGCTTGATGTCATAGCGTTTTTCTTGGCCGTAATATCAGTAATTCTCGTGATATCTTGTTATTGTATGAAATGTACGTTCCGATGCTGTAAGCGAATGTGTTTCACTACCAAAGAAAAACATGACTGAAAATTAGAAATACTACCTCGGCTTATTTTTATTTTCTTTTGTAATAGAATGGCCATCCCATAATCGCGAGTATCAAAAGAGATAAGTCATGCTGCCAAATAATAAAAATGGCCTTAAAGTAATGCCTAACCTAGCTCTACATGCCCTCCCAACTTTATTTCTTAAATGGTGAAGAAAGGAGGAAAATTAGAGAAAGGGGGTGGGTTGGGGGGGGGGGGGGGAGGCTTACGCGAAAAGAAGATGATGGGCCTGTACAACTCGAAACTTGATGGCCTTGTTTTCTTGCATTCGAATTTCGATAAGTCTGGTGATTTGGTGTTTGATTTTTGTTTAATGTTTTGTTATGTCATCATAATCTTAGCAGTGAAAAGTCTTCACCATATAGTGAAAATGTTGTAGCTTTTGTGAATGATATTTTATATTTGGTATCAAATTCTTAGCATTCAAGAACTTTTTATATAATCAAGCAAATGCATATTAATTTGGATTGATTGTATATATGTATAGGCTAAGGGTATGTTACATGTTTTTCAACAATTAGTGCGCACATTGAATCACATTTGCCCCAAGACAGTACTTCACAATGAATAATTCTACCTCTTTTTTAATTTCTTAAAATGAGTAGATCATGTGAACTTTCCTTTTAAAGTTGTGTAGAGATAAAGTATGTACATATAGTAGCACTGCGCCGGTCGCTCATGGAAAATATCATTCTGTATTTCATAGAGAATTTTAGAAAAATAAATATGATGATGATGTATTAAATAAACTCGCACTGCATATTCAGCTTTCTTAATTCAGTGCGCGATGCATTTTATCTACACTGCTTCTCTTTACCCTGGTGGATAAGTGGGTATAGATAGGATGTGATGGTTGCATTGTTTGAATAGGCTGTACGTGCCTGAGTATTGTAAGACGACTGGCTGGAATCCTTCTCATTGTATGGGGGAAACAAGACGATGTGTATTTGTGGAAGAGCAAGTTTAATAATGAATTGGGTCATAATAATCATTTAGATTAAAACAAAAACGAAGAACAACCGTAGGGGAAACACCGGAAGGACTTTTCCAAGAAAATGTACGAAAAAGTATTTAAAAAAAAAAAAAAAAAAAAAAAAAAAAATTATTATTATTACTATTATTTGTGTGTGTGTGTGGGGGGGGGGGGGGATTAGTGCTCTAAACATGATATGGACGGCTAATTTTACCACTTTTACATTATGCGAATGTTCTATTATAGGGTGACATGGATGGGGGGGGGGGGGTATAACTGCAGATCTAAGAAACTGCTATTACAATACACGTCTGAGTGCGTGCATTAAATACAGTGCATATTTTACCCAGTCGTTATTACTGGCCTTCCAGCAGGCGACGATTGCCGGGAAAATGATCACAATGCCCTTTGCTATTTGCTAAATAGCTTCCTTTCTGGATCTATTTGAATACGGTCCAGACACTTAAGGTCAACAAACTTTTAATGGGTGACGTACCAATTTTCATCTTTGATCGCAGATTTACAATAGTGTTGCATTGATCAGGCATAAAGCCATTGTTGGATATTGCTGGAGAGATAATGAAAGGCTGAGGCTGGGTAGAGAAAGAGAGAGAGAGATAGAGAGAGCGGTTGAGATAATAAAGGAACGGGGTCAAAATGTGCCTATATACAGGGATGAAGCCAGGGAGAGATTAAAAGATATTATAAACGAACAATAATATAGGCTGAACTTATGATAGTGAATATACTTCCGTTTGTTTGTTCATTAATATCGGTTGCCCATCCTTCTCTTCTTCTTTTCTCTTTCTATTTCTCTCCGTCTCTCTCCTGACCTCTTACTCTCTCTCTCTTTCTCAGTTTCTCTCTCTCTCTCTCGTTCTCCTCTCTCTCTTTGCCCCTTCCCTTTCTATTTCCCTCTCTCTTCCCATCATTTGCCCTTTCTAAATCGTTTTCTGATATCAATATTGGAAGCAAATTGAGAATATTATATGCAAACCTCGACATTTAAAGGTAAAGAGGGGGATAGAATTATATGGGGATTCACACACACCCAAAACCAAAAAAGAGAAATTGTTAAGTTGAACGAAGAGGAGGGGGGGGGGGGGGGGGACGACGAAAGAATGTGAGATATTAACAAAAGTGAAAACTAGCGAATAACAAAGACCTTTTAATAGCATTGATTACAATGCAAAATTTAATTGTTCTGTATATAATTGTTGTTTACATGTATTTACAATTGTTTATATTTGTACAAGAAGTCATTTGAAATGACTTTAAAATTGGTCCAGGATCCTTATCATTTACAAAATGTGCATAATCTACAAAGGTCAATTCAATATCAATATTTTGTGGATTCACAGGGATGGATAATATTTTCATAGTTCGCTTTCTACAGTGTATAATTATACCAAACTGTTTATTTACATGAAACCCTATCTCATTTCTAAGTCATTCCCTTGCAGAACTTAAGGCCTATTCTCCACATTCTAAATGCAATAAGCTTAAAGCCATACTCTACTAGAAGGACTACCGCAAAATCCCCTCTAGCGCCATCTCAGGTCAGCTGTAGCAGTATGTTCCCGTACAGGCGCCCCGGAAGCAGTTTGGAATTTATTTATTTATTTATTTATTTATTTTTTTATTTTTTTTTTGGGGGGGGGGAGGGGGGGGGCAATCATTTCAGGGGGCTCACCTTCCAGGGGCAGTGACGTAATGAGAAAAAACGTTCGGAAGGGGGGGGGCAGACGAAAAATCTGCATCACCACCAGTCTTACACGTTACATGCAGGTCCCGCGGAACGTTTTTTCAAAGTGGAGTAACGACCAGGTAGAGCGTAAATTGGCGTGGGTTCCAGGGCATTAGCCTCGGCAGAGGGTCAAGGGGCTAGGCCCCCGGAAGCTCAGGGGTTTTAGGTATTTACTTACGGTTAGATGAGCATCCAGGGGCCCTCTTTAAGACCATTGACGTGTTCCAAGCTCAGAGGTTTTAATATTTAACTACGGTCAGATGAGCATCCAGGGGCCGCCTTAGGGCCCTTGGTGGGGTCCAGGGGGCAGAGCCCCCGGAAGCTCGGAGTTTTAGGTATTTAATTACGGTCAGATGAGCATTTTGTATACCTAATTTGTGACATTGGCAAGTCACTTATTTTTTTCTCTCCGTCTCTCTTTATTTTTCTCTTTAACATACTTTTTCAAAAAGTGAGGGAGGGGGGGGGGGGGGGGCTCGAGCCCAGCCACTTTGCAGACCTTGACATAAAGGCTTCTAAATAAGTGGACTTTTCGCCCGACTGTAATAAAAAAAAGTATGACTTACCAAAAAATGGAGAAAAAATACCTGAAAATCATGTCTTAACAGCAACATTTGTAAATCACTGGTATCGGATTAGAAATACACCCCCCATCAGTACGCCAACGTCCAGGGTTCATGTCTTCTCACCCCTATAACAAACAAAAACAGCACAATATTTACACGATATGCGCTTATCGCTATTATATAGATCTCCATTGATAAATACCGTATAGGTGGCATGCGCAATGTTTATGAAATTTAAATTCCTGTGAACTTTCCTGTTCTTTGAATGGAATTATCTTTGTGATTTAATTCAGGTTTTTATTATTGTTATGTTCTTTTGGGTTAAAAATACAAACCATGTTTACTCCTTTACTGCTTTTTTTTTTTTTTTTTTTGGAGGGGGGGGGGGGCGTTTTGGGGGGCAAAAATGCGTTTTGCCCACCCCCATTTTTTTGGTTGGGGGGGGGGGGGCAACTGCCCCCCTGCCCCCCCCCCCCCCCTCCCCACTTCCGGCGCCTATATGCCACCTATACTTGTTCCAAACAAGTATTACATGTCCAGTTATTATTATAATTCTGTTTAGGATAGCATTTACCAACTTCATTTATTTTGTTTTTCCAATCCACCACTGTGTCAGCTCTCAATTACGTCCTTCCAACATCGCTCACACAAAACGCGCGAAAGGCAACCGAATGCGGCCCTTTCGCTAAACATTCTAACCGAGTTCAAAGTCCGCTTATTTACCAAATCCAGTAGCCATTTTGGTGGTGAGATTCAGTAGAGAAGCTTTGTTTTCAAACACCCATTTCATATTATATTGAAAGCTCATAACAATTACGATTACTTCTACTGTAACTATATGGTAAGTGATAAATGATTGTGAATCAAATTATTTTCATGATTTAATCGTAAATTTGTTGAAATTTATTATCTTTGTCTAATCTTATCTCTTGGCGTCTACACTACGACGGTAATACGTGTATACGAATAGGTTTGTTGCATGTACGTCATGTTCAACATATAAGTTATAGTTTACCTGAATTCCCAGTGATAATTGAATGTTAATAACTTAGCAATATTTTACTCCCTTTGTACGACCTTCATGTTTTTTTTTATTACAAAGGGCTCGTTAAAAACACATGCTTGTATTTCTTTTCTTCTTATCTTGTTTTCGTTGGGAGAGGGGGGTCGTCGAAGCCAATACTGATAAGCAGCCAGCCATTATATTCATCGTATCATTTTACTTTCTACTTTGTAGCATGATCAAATTCAAATAATATATGAAAGAATCATTTTTTCAAATCGTTGTAAAACGCTTTTCAGAACCGGTATCACAGTTTGGATATTTTTTTCTTTGTTGTAATACAGGGCATACTGAATCTGCACAGTATATCCGTCAACATTTATAATGGGAGGTAAGTTCAATTTGTACTATGTTGTCTAACGAGAACGTAAATTTGCTGTTGAGTATATAACTTCTTCTGCTTCTTCCTTTTTTTCTTGTTGTTGTTATTCCTCTTTCTCTTCAATTTCTTCTTCTTCTTATCCTTTTCTTGTCCTTGTTCTTGTTTTTGTTGTTGGTGTTCTTCTTCTGCTAGTAATCTCTAAATGTCTGTACCGCCTAACTGAAATTTGTCCCATATTTACATCCCAAAGGTAATGGAACCTTTGTAATAGGGTTTAAAGGGAAATCACTGCTGACTTTCCTCAATATCACTGTGGTGCCCAGAATAATTAAGAGAATCTTAAGTTGTATTTGTTTTATGGTGATAGAATGAATGAGATTAGGAGAGGAAAATTTGTGATGACAAGTTGCCCCTAATCAAGACATCAATATACAAGTATTTTGGCCTTTTTTCTATGAATGTATATTATTTCTAGATCTAAGCGATGGTTCAAATTG